TATTTCTAAACTTTTATGTAAGCAAATGCGTCATTTAACTGAATAATCATCTAAATGACATATTGTAGCATGAAATAGTCCGAATTTGAACAGGCACATAGAGAGCGAATGTTCCGGAGTAAATAGAACTGTATTTGGCAACAGCGTTTGTATTTGTACAGTTTTTGCAACAGTATTTGTACGAGTACGTAACTTTATTCTATCAACGCATGGATTCACATTTTTATAATCGGAGCAGTAGGTACTAAAACTATTACATTTATTGGATGTTCACCTCTTCATAATAACATTACAGATAAGTATAATAGCTTGTTTGATGAGTCTGTAAGTAGAAGGTTATAAAAAGTCGTAACCTGCATAACTCATAATCTATAATATTAAAATTAATCGCAAAATGTGTTGGTAAGCGCATAACTCAACAACGCCTGAGCCAATTTTATTTTTTCTTTTTTTAATGTTCGTTGAAGCCTCAGATCATAGAAAGAGAATAGATATGAAGTCGCGCGTAACTACAACGAGAACCAGTGTCCCCACATTTCCCCCACCACAGCTCCCACACACACATTCAACTGTGTAAAAGCAAAGCGACTGAGAGTCTACGACAACATGTGCAACCGGCTTAAAAGTGCTGTGATTGGCCAGAAGGCGTGCCTTATGGCCAATCAATGGCCGCGTGACGTGACGCACACTTTGAAAACTAGTGAGAGAACAAAGATAAAATGAAGTCGACAAGATATCGATACTTTAAATCGCTAGGGGCAAGGCTCGAAACTGGTTTCACAAAATGCTTATGTATGAAAACCTTTTTATTATTATACGTTATTATTAACTACTATCACGCATTTACTTTTTAACCGCTTGAGTCCCAGACGGCATTAATTAATGTCATAACAATTGATTATCTATTGTGTCTAGATTCGCGGGCCTTGAAGGATTAATTATGGCGATCTGCGTACCGCATATGTTTATCAAAAATAATGCCTATATTAGGCTTTCAACTAGCTCTTATAGTAATTACATAGTTGACAGTTACTAATTACTTCTACTGTTATTATTTTTTTTGTAAAATCTTATAATCGCAAGTAACACATAATTTTTTTATTTAAAATTACAAAATAGAAAATTATAATTTACTTCTATTTATCGATAATAGGAAACCGCATTAGAACACGAGCACGGCACTATGTTACGACCGGCACATGCGGCCGTACTGTGTATTTTCACACGACAGTGGATATCGGAAGAAATTAAATACATCGCGCAGTAGTTGAGCATGACATAAAGTGGTTGCTAACTAAATCGTCAATGTACAAGTGTGTTAGAATTTTTATCACCACTGATTTCGATATCGCAGTAACTGTTACGGCACTGAATTCGTTCGTAAAAATGTTAAGTTTTTTTTATTTATAACCAGAATACCAATGGATTTGCAATACTTACATGTAGTAAATGACTCCATTGTTCCTGTAGTTCTTCGTTTCACTTGTTTTATTGCACGTAACGACGCATTATCCAAAAAATTCGGAGAACATTTCCTTAGTACGACTGAATCGCGACTAACCTAGCTACGCGGCCGATGTTCGTTTCTGGGCATATCGCGGAGACACGCGCCACGCCCCCGTTTCACATCTATTCCCTTCTATGATCTGAGGTTGAAGCCCAAGGATGGTTTTTACGGCGAGAATTCGAATAATTTCCGCGTAAACCCCGGGCGAAGCCGCGAGCGAAAAGCTAGTAGTCTTATAAAACTTCAGTAACAGTTTCAGAATTACTTGGGGAGTCTGGGAAACTTTCGCAAAAAGTTTTAACTGTTGATTTTATAAACAATTTGTAAGCTTACAAAAGTGTACGGTATCGGGTTGCAAACAACGTTAAAACGTTAACGTAATTATCGACACAAACATCTACTCGTTTTTTGGTGTCGGGCATGTGTAATCCGATCAGGTTCGGGGATTTCCCCTTTTATTTACACCGGCCAGCCCGCCGTTATCCCCCGGCTAATCAATGGGCTTGTACTATACAGAGTACTACGTGTATCGGCCGGCTCGTCTGGCTGAAGTCTACGTACACTCTGTATGTACAGGACGACCGGCATAGCACAGCGGGAGCCGGTAATAGGCCAGTAGAATTAAACACAAAAATTGATTAAATCGGAAATAATTCCTACAAAAGATTTTTTGCTTTAATGGCTTCATTGGTTGCCCATTAAGACTCTCCTAAGTTTTCGACTTCGACGGAGTTGTGCTTAAGTGGTGGGGGCCCCCGAAAGCGGCGTTTTTTCGGTTTTCCGGTTATACCGCGTAAAGGACTTACCCTATCGAAAAGTGGTCTTCATGACGGTTAAAGGGCACTTAATCTTGCATTGAATAAGACCAAATTCATATGTTTTGGACAAACCGTTCTCACGCTAAAGTTCGGCAAAGTAGAAAATATACGTATAATTAATGACCCTCTCCACGTCCAATGGCTTGTTACCCACATGCTTCCAAGCCTTGTAAAGGGTTGCCTTAATCAGTGTAACCCTAACAAGGCTCACGAGTTTGATTCGCTTATCCTTGTTCGTCCCAGCCGTTCCTTAACTGCGGTTTCTGCACCTCTTCCTGACACTCTCCTGAACGACTCTGTGTTACCTAATGTGGCTGCCTCTCTTCCTTGTACCCTCGTGCGTAACGTAGCTATTACAAAGGGGAGGTTGTGCATGGAATCCCGTCAGTCTAGAAGTTAGTAACCTGATAGTTGATTGGCCGCTATACACAGAGGCGGCTGTGCAAATATGTCAACTCCAATACAAATAAGTATTTGAAGGGTCATGAATTTGCTGTATGGTTGTAATTCAGGTTTTCGTTATACAATTTTTGCCCTATTTGCGAAGACAGATGTGCTCATTCAACGACACATCAAAGGAGCATCAAAGAACATTTTCGCGATCACACGCTGAACCTTATATGATTACTAGTTTATATGACCGTACGCAATCGCGTGCGTACGCGAAATAGATTGACATAACATTCAATAATATTTTAAATCTTAGGTTTAATTTATTAGGTTTCGTATTTGTTGTATTTCGACCTATATCCCGCCGGTAACGTAACCTGCGACCCAGCGCTCTCAGCTGCACCGACAATGTGCTTATATAACCGCAATGTAACAAACAAATGGCCGATTTACATAATAGCCTTGTCGATGCGCGATTACACTTACACCCACGAGGCTGCGACGCGACTCGCTATTATGTATTTTATAGCATAATTATTTAATTCGCTCAGCCCGATCTGGATAAGTCAAATAATGAACAAGATAGTCGTAATAAATATTGTATCTAACGGTAACGTAACCTCAAACTTCGTAAACTCCGCGTTACGACGCATCACTTGGATTGGTTAACGAACTGCGTACGATTTAGAAGAAAAAAAATATTATATTTTGCCGTGAGTCATTTTGACAGGTAGAACAAATGTAGTGTAACATTAAACGACCTCTTAGATAATGGGCAATATGTACCTAAAAATGTTTTTATAGAACCTTCGAAGTGGAATGAAAACGTTTCACAGACATACAACTTGTTGCTTTTTATAAAAAACGGTTTTGTTAAGAACAAGGAATGTTCGCCATTTTAATTATGCTGTCCAGTTAGAATCCAGCGAAGGATCGAAGTCTAAAAAATGCTTTACACAGAAACTATCTAAGTGAATGAAAAACATTCTACGAAGCGAAGAAGCCATCTAAAAAATAGCTTAGTTATTTAAAAACAGAGGCGACTAAAAAACTTCTTTACTATTTTAATTTTATTGCTTAGCTTAGTTCTTCTTTGGATCGAAATCTAAGACATTGGAAAACTTTAAGTTAGTAGAAAAACTCGATGAAGCCAGCAAAGAAATAGTATCGTTCTTAAAAAAAACTATTTTTTTTTTAAAAAAATAAGCAACATTTTCTCCTCTATTTTTAGTTGTGGTTTTCGAAGTGAATGAAAAACATTCTACAAAGCGAAAAAGCCATTTAAAACATAGTTATTATTTATGAAAACTTCTTTACTATTTTTAGTGTTCCTTGGTTTTAGTTCTTGGAATCTAAATCTAAGAAATGCACAGTAAACAACTTTAAAAGTTAATGGAAAAGCACGATGGAGCCTGCAAAGAAATAGTATTTCTCTAAAATACCAGTTTTTCTTTGAAAAATATGCATCATTTTCTCCCCTATTTTAAGTTGTCGTCTTTTTTGTGAGTTCTGCGTAAGGCTACTTAGTTTCCATCTCCAATTCAACAAAAAAGCCAGATAGAAATAAATGACAAAAAATGAAACTCGCAATGCAATATAAATAAATGTTATCTAGATGACGCATAATGGCTTTTATAGTTACTGTCAAATAAAACTATTTTCAATTGTACACATCACATCAGATTCATCAATCATTATAGATAATGAAAATTGTACGTGACTCTCATGTATCTATCGAATTAACATGTCTTTATTTTTAAGTACAAAATTATAAATAAACTTTCATAGGTATATAAATACTGTTTAATATGAGAAGACATGCACAATTGATAACGTATAAAAACATAAAAAACAACAAGAAACGACATCGCTACAGCATTAATTGAAATGACCTAACAATGACAAGATTACGAGAGCGTTATGATGTAATTAATGAACGGTGTCATTACACAGGCCACCTTGAAATGTTGCAAAATATCGATAAACAATGAGAAGTGCAATATAATATCAAGAAAACAGGTAAACGTATAAATATTAAAAAATAAAGCATGAAAACACACACGCAAAACAAAAAAGGATAATATTTAAGCATAAATTACATGAATTATAATGATTTCGGATTCCATTTGATCAAGGCACAAACAACATGTTGATCAAATTGAGTATACATAACATCGCCATTTCCCGAATAACCAAAACAAGAACGACAACAAATGACAAAGCTGTTCGCACTTTGACATAAAACGCAAGAAGAAATTTGACATCGTAACAATTTATGGACTTACTTTTTTTAACTGCTGCTGAGGAGGCTTCCAACACATCTGCAGGTCGCTCATGACTGCCGTCGCGCCTATCACAAAAAAAAGAAAGAAAATGTTAAACGCTGCCAATTCATTATCTAACAGACATAATAAAAACGGGTTCATGGTCAGATCCTTACCTAACATAGTTTTCATTTGGCAGCATTTTTCCAAGCAAATACTGAACAACAGTATTCACATGAAGTTCTGTAGGAGCTTCAGCCCCGCAAGGACAGTCGCCGTTCTCCTCAATGCATCTGCAATACATAACAAGATATGAAATACATATTGCTTAAAATAGCTATTATTAATATCGTAGGTGACCCGTTAATATGATTACGTACCTCGTGCAGCGAGTATGACCGCAATACCCCGTAACAGGTAGAATAGGGAAAAGGTCGCAGTTGAGGCAATGCAACAATTTCTCGTCTAAAGTTTTATTGTTGCGAGCGTGCTTGATCATCTTGTTCGCGACCTGTTTGGCTGCGGGCGTCGCCGCCGGCAGAACTGGCATGGTCTTGCGAGTGTACAGCTCGAACGAAACCACAGGTGACAAATCCTTCAATGACCTATTTTGAGCAGTTTCAACGCTACCCGTTGCATCTCCATTTGAAGTGGAACTTTCTACTACATCCGATTGTTGGGCTACCAGTTCCATTCCATTGGTTTCCATTTGTGTGGGCTGATAATAAACTTCAGTGACAGGAACCTCGTAGGCGTTATAGCTCACGTAAGACTCATTTTCAATAACTTCAATCTCTAAGTAATCCGTAGTGAGTTCAGCAGACACATTGTTGTCTTCGGAGGACATTGGCGTCGCCTCATTCACTGTTTGGACTGATGGCGGTTCATATTCTATGGGCAGTTCTTGATAAGGTGGGCCAGGCGGCAGGGACGCTGATAATAGACCGCTTGATACGAAGCCGGTCTGTTCGTCATCAGTCTGCAGTTGGACGTCCGATGTGATTATTATTTCCGGCTCGTCTGGCTGCGGCCACTGGCTCTGCCTCAGCCATTGGTTCGATGCAGAGCGGGGCAAACTGGGAGAATGCATCTGTGTCGATTGGCCAATATCTGCCGGCTGCTCAGTGCTTGGATTGTATGACGAAATAGAACGAGTGCGGCGCTTTGATGTTCGCGATTGCCTTTGCTCCTGGAGTACGACAGTGGGCCTTTGTTCGGTCGACTCCTCCTCTTGCAGGGAAGGCAGGATAGGTCGGTAAATGTGCATACGCTCGCTTAGGCTAAGTAGCCTGTACGGGTGTTGTATTCTTCGATACATTCTCTGAAATGTCCGCCTCGGCGAACTGAAGGAGTCCATTCGCATCTGAAGTGGACAGGGGAATGGTGGAGACAGTGTGAAGATGTAACTAGTTAAGACACAAGACGTGGCCAGATACGGCGGACTAGCGGACTGTGCGGCGGTCCGCGTCGCCGATACCTGTGAACAAAGGACAACCCATCTTTAAGTATGGCTGTGAGAAAACTCATCAGAAAAAAATAATGTTCAACTAGAAATTGACCCGCAGCTCTTTAAATAATTGTCACTAAATGCCTTAACGCGAGCCCCGTGGAAACAAAGGCCAAGATGTTGAAAAATATTACTACCTAACCTATTACCATTTATTATTAATTATAAAAATATTCTTGGACATTATACAAACTAAGCAAAGCAAAGCTTGTACTATGGGTACCAGACAATAACGGATATAAACATACCTAATTACTTTTTTTGGAAATACCTACATAGCACGTATTACAGTATGGAAAAATATTTACTACGTGCGATGATCGAACCTACACCAAACGGCCGTCAAATATATGCCGTTATAAAACTATGATCTTTGTCTACCAAATTGTGATCTGATGTGTGCATGACGGATTAATAATTTACAAACATACACTCAAAACATTATAATATTGATAGAATGTCGAGATTTGAACCATATCTATGTATTATGTAAAAGTAGCTAATTATATTAAATAGTATTATATAAAACGTGACCTTACCCACGAGCGCGATAGCGTGACTTTGACCGTTGTCAAATAAACTTCTTATCTGTTGGTTTGGCTCGTGGATAACACAAGCATAACAAGATAGCACAACACAAGAGCAGAGGGCTTTGCCCTACCTCCAGCCAGCCAGACAAACAACCCGGCCGACGTACACTACATAGCGCTACCTCCAGCCTAACAATTGCATGTCCCCGCGACGCACGCATGTATATGAACGTAGCTATGTACCGCTTTCGAAAAATCAATAAAAAAGCATTAATTATTATTACCAATGAAACATTTTAAATAATACGAGCTAATAATTACGACAGCGAAACAAAGAAATAACAAAAAGATGAAAGTAGTCATAGATTAGAATGACTATGTGTAATGTATAATGACTGAGTGTTTAGATCCCAATTTGAAATCTTTTCCCCAAATAAACCGATTACGGGCGTTTAACAAAAACAAAAATAAGAGGATAATCACAATAAAAACTCCAATAATACATTACCTAATCAGGTCAAGGTTACACCAACGCCATTAAAAATAACATAATTATCATTTCGGCACTACCTTCACTTTTGAAATGAAATAAATCCAAATCCGAAGTTCTGAACTTACGAAACAATAAGCCGTTAATTTGCATCACATTTCGAAACAATAGATCACTGAGGTATTTAAGTAATCACTGCAGTTAATCAAAGCGAAGCTCGAGCACCGATGCCGCCGACACAAGCGAGTCAATTAAATGCAGGGTGCGGTAGTTGTCCGGGATCTCGTTAAGCCCTGGGAATTTTGCATCGATGCATCCGCTGAATCGAAGCGGGAGCGATATAGACGCCACATCTAGTGGCTAGTTATCTCTTTCATGCCAGACAGGTAGGTACGAATCGACGCGAATTTGTATTGAACGAATGCTTACATGTAGTTGTATTTTATGTTATTGTATTTAACATTTAAAACAAGTAACGTCGGTTTATATGTAGAGCGAGACCGGCAAAAATTTGTTTGTGTGCGAAACGTGGTTGGAAATTTAAAGACTGTCGGGATGATGCTTACATTAGAAGACGAAGGGTCAGTGTGCACTGTGCAGACAGTGAACTGTGGTGTCAGTCAGCAAGGGGCACGATGTGAACTTGGCCTAGTGATCGCGGCGACCGGTCCGAGAGCAGCCGGCGCGCGACCGATCCTCGCTACGAGCGATGCTGCACTGCGCCGGCCGCCGGCTCAGGCCTCAGGCTCACCGTTACCGATACAGACGAACAATTAAACTAGACTACATCTAGCATCTAGGTCGGGAAACTTTACGCTTACAGACAGCCTAAGGTCGCGCTGAGCCTACGTTTGTTCTCGCTTATTGGGACTAAATGGGAGACGTTTGACGACCTCTAATAGGCGGCGAGACACCTTGAAGTGCTCAAAGGATAAAAGCCTTGTCTGCGTCCTACTGGGCTCCGTTTGCCTTTGTTTAATATTACATTTTACATTTTTTATTCAATGAAATTGAGCGATGTTACCTACTATTTAGTGTTTTTTTACAAAGCCTTTGCTACGAAAGGGCTATAAGATGAAGTCTTCCAGTGACTTGGCCCACTTTTAGTTTAGCCCACGGGCCAAGTCGCTAAATTGAATTTTTAAATATTTTTTCTTCCAGCAACTGGGGCCCAGTTGCAAGAAGAAAAAATATTTAAAAATTTCAATGTTTTATTAATTAATTAAACACCAAATCAACTAAAATCTACTCTAGAATCTTATAGTGGGCCCAGTTAAGTACCTACTATGGAAGAAAAAAATATTTGAAAAGCAATCCAGCAACTTGGCCCGTGGGCCAAGTAACTTCAAGACTCAGGATGAAATGCATAATCATTATTCACATTGCACAAAGCAAAAAAAAAAACTTTTAAACAAAAAAATATTATTCGGTGACAAGTCGGCGTTAAATATGTATTTGATATTGATATGATAACACATAAACGATTGGATCATCAGACAAAAATTTTACCCTTGTAGGAGTCTAATCCGCAACCACTGGTTTACAATAAACTTCAATGTAATGAAATCTGTAGCTGTGAAAAGTTATTTACTCATGTGTGCAAAATTTCTGCACTTATCGTAGGTGTAATTAAATTGAAAATGATTCCCATGGAGTAATGGCCGTTCACCCTTTTATATTTCCACTTACCTACCCAAAGATGATAGAAGTTCGGTTAGTGAACTCACTTAGCACCACGTGCACAAGCTCTAATAGATCACACTGTGTATTCGTGAATCACATGAAACCAAACAATGCCAAATTCACAGGGCATTAGATAATTTCCCCGAAATATTTACGAGCACGATGCGCACATTCGCCATGACGGTGGATACTATTAGGATATATGGAGGCAAGAATATCCATCTGATATGGAGGTAAAGTTGAAAAAGTGTTCAATGTGTCCAAAATGGCGCTAGAGTAGGCAAACGATATATTGTGTTGTTGTTGCCGGGTGCCTGCTTAAAGTATGTAGGTACCTTGAGTACATTCTCATACTCCATAATGTACATTATGATTCGAATGCAACTCCGTAAATAGCACTAGGATAACATTGACTTTATTACTGCGTGTTATGCAACTTAAGCAACATTCATTAGGCAACATTTGTTGATAAACTGTTTATGACTAGTGTGAATCAAGTTTACCATAAACACAGGTTTCTGAAACTTGGCCGTCCACACTTGCTCTACACTCATAACGGGGAGCACGGCAACATGTATCATAAACAATGTTTCATCACCTTTGTTTATGGAATGTTTATAAACTGTTTACAGAGCAGATGCGGAAACATTATGAAACATTGTTTATGAACAGTTTATAAACAGTGTTTATCAACAACTGTTGCCTAATGAATACATGGCTTAAGTGTTATCATAGCTGCATAATCAACACGTCTGCAATTACCATGGAACGTTAAAAATTAACACATAAATTATACCCTCCATTCAAGCTGAACATTTGTAGATTACATTTCCAAATCTCGAGTAGGTAGTTACGTGTGCAAGTAGGTACTAGAGTAGAAAAACAATGCAATCTGCAAATTGTAACATAATAATCAGATTTTCGGATTTAAATCTCTTGTACACTATTATATCGCTTACACGAGGTAGTAATATTTATTTGATCAATAAAGTACCAATTACATTCTAATAAATAATCATTTTAATATTTACTCAAAGGTACGCTACGCTACGCTACCCAAGAATAAACAAAAACCTCTGCAAAGCAGACAATATACGACCAGTTCTGTAAGCCAATAAAGGAACTTTTTCAAGAAACCTTCAAACACCGGAATGCACTGCGCAATGTCATTATAGTCCAGTCATTACGTACATTCAAAAAAGAAAATGAATTTGCGCTTCTAATTTTTTAATATGTTGTAGGGGATACCTAGAAAAGCTTAACTAGCTTACCTAGAAAAAAAAAAAAAAATTGTGTCCAAAATTTTTGACTTTATCGATCGATATCTCGATAACGATGCATGATACGCTAAAAATGGTTCGGGCGTTATTGTAGAGCACAAAGAAAGCTACAAAAAGTGTCCTACAAAAATTTTCGAATCTCATCGGATAGCCGAGTTATTGCCGAAAAACAAAATTTAAGCGTTTTCCAAGATGGCGGCGAAAGCTCCTAGGAAAGCTTGGTCGACAATCTCAAGTTAAGCTTTTCTAGGTATCCCCTACAACATATTAAAAAATTAGAAGCGCAAATTCATTTTCTTTTATTTGCCTTTTTTTCGGACGAAATGACTGGACTATTATAATGGTTCGAAAAGGACAGGAGGAAGTCAAGCGCCACTCGGCTCGCTTCGCCACGATGGAGTTTGTCAAACAATTTAGTAAATAACCCTTCTTCTGGAGCAGTCGGGTAAATAGTCGCTGCAGTGGACAGGATTGCAGTCTAATAAATACTTCTGTAAGTTCCGAACCCCTTTGCTGAATACCCTATTTGCTCGAGTAGAAATTGCGCTTTTCAAGTAATGATTCTAAGGGCCTCTTACTATTCCCTATGGGAGAACATTACTTAAATATAAGGTGTCTGATAACGTTATGGAAGTTATCTCTCAAATAAACAACTTTCGGTTTCTTAAGTTTTGAATAGGCGTCCTGGTAAAAACACTTTTGCAATATCACATTTTTTTTTGTATATTATTAGTAAGGTGTTACATATTAGGAAAGTCTCTACTTACTACCTAATTAAGTTATGATGTAATTTTTAGAACAAAAAAGCACTAAGCTAGGCTGTCACAGGTATTAACGCTGAAATGTTGTGGCATTCATTTTGTTTGTGCAGTACTTTCGTTTGACATCTAATATTGCTGCGGCTGCGACAATCTCTGAATGATTTTAATAGTTTATGCCAATAATCTTTGGCAATCTTGGAAACAAAAGAAAAAAGAATACCTTCCTCAAAAATGTACACCGACTCTGAATAACAGACTCGAATAAAATACGTTTGTCTTCGATTTATCATTTGGTTATTACTACATTGGTTTCTTTTCATAGCAGTAATATAATTATGAACGGTTGAGACAGGTCGAGCTTTTACTATCTCACTTACGAAGGTTATCAACTTGACTTTTTCCTCAGGACCTACAGAAGTATTTTCCTTTCTTAATTGTCAAATACTAGCTTTTACCTACGGCTTCGCCTGCGTAAAATTGTGCTTGTCACAGATCGTTACAAAAATAATATGTCATTCTGATGTATAAAAAATAATACCTAGTGTTAAGTTCCATCAAAATCCGTTCAGTAATTTTTGCGTGAAAGAGTAACAAACATACATCGATTTAGGGCTAATTTTTCAATAGTCAGATATCTTATAACTGAAGAGTAAACTTGTCATTTTGACATATTTCCCATATTGAAACTGTCAATGTGCCAAACTTAATCTTCAGTTAAAAGTTATCTGACGATTAAAAAATCAGCCCTTACGCGAAATTAAGTTAATAAGATGAATCGTATTTAAAGAAAAGATTTTAAAATAATAATTCGATTTAAGCAAGACGATCGCATTATAATTAAAAAAAAGTCACCTTTAATACGTTTTAATCTTTTAATACCAAAGTCGTCTTGTTTCGTTACACTATTTTGAGTTTTGACCCCAAAGTGCAGTCGTGTTTTGCGGTCATTGCGCTGCCAAATGTAGCTGGCGTCGAGTAGACGAGTTGCTTTATTGCACCAACAATATCGCACACATACGCAACAAAACTTCATTCTCACCCCAAAAGAAATGCAGTGACCGACTGTGAGAAAAAACTTACCGTAAAAAAGCTTATGCGAATCTTATTGTTTATGTGTGCTACATGACGTCTTCTTAATACCTTATATGCCTAAGCGCACACCACAGACTTTTAGTTGGCCGATAGTTGGGTCGGGCTGTTAATTAGTGTGGACAATATGGACATGTATGAAATTGCGCACCGATTTGGTAGGTATAAGCCGATTCTTCATACAAATTAGAATCAGGCCCAACTATCGGCCAACTAAAAGTCGGTGGTCTGCGTCTAGGCTAAGTACTTATGTACAGGCCGCCCGCGTATGTACAGAATTGACCTCTCTACAGATTTATTATAAGTATAGATGAGTACGTTAAGTGGTACAATAAGATGCAATCCGATCAAACTTGATCATTGCATGAGCAATATTGTTTCCGATTCGTCTTCGTTTGACCCCTATTGAATACATTTCCATCAAGCAATTTAATTATCCATGTTATACTAAAAAACCAAAGCGAGGTACATTTACATCTTTTTAGTTTACGATCGTCAATAATCAATANTAAATACATGCCATAAATAAATTCGGTCCGTGATTATAAATAAAAACAAGTTGTTTACAGAATTTTAGCAATTTGTTATTATTCGCTTTAAAATATAATTTATATTCTCGATGAGAAAACCTTTCCACGAGGCATTATTAAGTCTTCACTAAATTAAATTGGCTCTGAATATTTTATGATTGAACAGGATTTATTTGTTGAGTGATCTTGTGAGTGGGATCAGTGATATAATAGGGGTTAAAGTATAAAATTGCCAATTTTTCCATCCTTAGTAAGTATATTCCTTTAATACAAAATACAATAGTCATTGTCCATATATTTTTTTTGTTACTTTAAAATTTTCACTAAGGGGAGGCCTATGTTCAGCAGTGGACGTCCTATGGCTGAGATGATGATGATGATGAAAATTTTCACTAAAAATAATTCCTCAAAAATAACTCGTCCTAAGCCTAGGCGCAGACCACCAACTTTTAGTTGGCCAATAGTTAGGTTAGGTCGGGCTATTAATCAGTATGGAGATGTATGAAAGTACGCACACTACACAGATTTGTTATCAGCCGATTCTTCATACAAATTAGAATCGTGCCCAACTATCGGTCAACTAAAAATCGATGGTCTGCGTCTAGTCTAAGTGGTGTTCCCGTCATAAAAAAATAAAAATTTTCGTGCACCGACTATCTATCTAGGCTCTATTAATCTAAGCCTAATATGTATAAAAAGGTCATGATGATGATAGCTAAAATAATGATGGAAATGTAACTTACGTGTGATAGTGCATTCGCCGCTCTGATTTGATCAGCCGGAGGGGGCGACCGCCATGGCATCAGTTCAAAGCGGTCTACCTGTTCAAGACAATTTTGTTTTTCAATTTCAATTAAAATATTTACGACTTTGTTTAGCTTGGAACAGATTCCAACTGAGTTTGCGACTAAATCACTCAACTACAGAGCGATTATTATTATAGTAGTTTATTTTTATACTAGCTTTCCGGCGAGCTTCGTACCGTCTAACGGGCTATCGTTTAATATGGTTAATGAATTGTTGTTATCATATCGATGGAGCACCATCTCAAAGATAACCCAAATAAGCAGGCTAAAGGAGTACCTTTAGCCTCCTTATTTGGGTAGTCGGGTATGTTAACTTAGCGTATCAGCTACCTCTATGTACCTCATTTTATCGAAATCTGTCCAGCCGTTCTTGAGTTACAAATGTCACAACTAACACGACGTTGTTTTTTCTCGTATATAGATTTGTGATCAGAGTATAATCAAGTGTGACATTACTTTGGATGGACTCTGTGAGTGTAATTTACAATGACTAACTTTCAGATAATGTATGTCCGGTTCGAAAGCTGCTTGGTTTCTGTTACCGACTACCGTGGCTCTTCAAAAAGGTTGCCAAGGGCAGATAAGGGGTGTATTCCAAATGATACTGCTCGGTGCCCCATAATAAGTGATCGCAGAAGAATCTCTTATAAATTTTTAGTTTGCAGCGCCCAACAGGGTCCTTAATGATCTCCAAATATAACTATGTAACACCTAAATGTACTATTAAGGAAGCAATAAACTTATTGAGTATTGAGTATTGAGAAGATAAAAGTAGAGAGAAAGGTCATGGAAAATATTAAAACTTTCGTAGATTATGGAGTTTGCAGTAATCTTATTTTACTAACAAAAGTACAACAAGAATGAAAACAAATCTTACTGGGATATGGGATTACTAAAGAATATTGCGCGCGCTATTCTATCGGCTTAACCTTTAGCGGTTTTTGTTTTATTTTATTAATTTTTATTTTATAATTTAACTTAAATTATGAAACACAATCACCATTAGTTAACCGATATTACCAAGGCGAAATTCACTGAGGGTTTTTTTAATAAAATTCATATTTTGACTACTAAGAAGAAATAAATATACCTACCAATACATATTATAACATCTATATATATAAAAATGAAACCCGTTTCGCGTTGTCACGGCATCACGTGTGAACGGCTGAACCGATTTCGATAATTCTTTTTTTTAAATGTTTGTGGAAGTCCAAGGATGGTTCTTACGGAAAAAAATATTAAGAAAATCTCTACGCTAAGGCGGTACGAAGTTCGCCGGGTCAGCTAGTATAAAATAATTATACTCAGCTACTAGTTTCAGAAGTCGTGCGTGTGTCGCAAATAAAGAAAACGTCCACGTGATCAATTTAACATTACTTACAAATAACTTGTAGTTTAGAAACTATTAATTGCTTTATTGTGATACATTATATGTATTACAATAATGTCGAGTACATTGGCACCTTTATTTCTACGATAAAAGCAAATCCGCCGAGTCAGTTGGCAACAGTTTGGCACGACCTCCTTGACTCTGAGCACATTAACACGTCCTGCTATTTGAAATAATGATGCCAACTCAGATATTGACAGATACCAATAAAGAACCAAGCTGTGAATTGTGTAGGAATTCACGTATTATCTTGGTTTCTTACGAATTTAGATATGTTAAGTCGCCTGAAGGGTAAATTCATGTAAGCCTAGGCGCAGACCATCAACTTTTAGTGGCCGATAATTGGGCCCGATTCTAATTTGTATGAAGAATCGGCCGATACCGAATCGGTGTAATGTGCGGGTCCGTGGCCGAGTCCCCCAGTATTCGACGCACCCGTGGTTGAAGCCCCCGATTTAAATAAATTTAATATCATATTTTTTTCGGCTTTTGCACTAAGTACAGTCAACGAAAACCATGCATGTTTGACGCTATTTAAAATGATGTATTTAATTTTTTGATAAAAATACTTAAAAATTTTATAATTCAAACTTTTATTTGTAGTTAGTTAAATGTAGAGAGAGTAGAGTTATTTTAAAGACTGATTGTTACAATTATTTTGATTAGGTAAAACGATTTACATGTTAAAATAGGTAAATAAAACCTATGATAAAATATGATAGGTTTAAATAAAACCTATTATATTTTTAGGTATCACTAATGGTAAAATAATATTAAACATTTATTTGTACGATCAGTATAAATATTTATTCGTTTATAAATATTTTTGTGACTGATTGTACATTTGATTAAAAATTGCTTCTATCTGACCGGGGGCGTCGACCACGGGTGCGTCGAACACAGGGGGACTCGGCCACGGACCCTAATGTGCGCACTTTCATACATGTCCATACTGATTAACAGCACGACCCAACTATCGGCCAATTACAAGTCGGTGGCCTGCGTCTAGGCTAATAGACACATTGAAGTCCTTTAGTTAAATCAAACATTCGGTCGGAGTACAATGAACGTAGCGAAACGTAACGTTTAGAGACTAGTCACAGTAGTCACAAGTGCTGAAATTAAATTATCGCCTGTCCTAATGACTTATAGTGGCTAAGCGGAGTTACAATAGTTTGGAAAAGTTTCAGGGATGAAAGTAGGTCTAGGACCTAGGTAGACAAAAACGATACATTACACCCTCCTGGACATAAAACATTTTCGTTTGAGAAATTCATGGTTTCTTGTACTTCTGTTGGAAGCATTAGAACTGCAATTGGCATACGAAATGGAATCAACCGTTTACGAATTCCCATACGACTTATGCTAATGCGTATGTGAATGGGGATGTAATGCTTTGATAATATGCCACCCAGGTTGGATTCCCCGGCAGGCCACACGGTGGAGAACAAAATGGTAAGATGGCTCTCTCAGATTAAACCAGTTTTTATTTAAGGTTACGCCAAAACACACTACCGCGACCGCGAAGCTGAAACTCAATTACTCGTGCGTTATGTTTCAAATCTTAAACTAAATATTACAAGATAATTGCTGCAAAATAATCCAAAATTATCTCCTGAATATTCTAGTATGAGGCATGTATCAATAGATACTTTGCTTTATGTATTTAGAACAAGTTTCAATGTAACTTATGGCTACCTCAATAAGGCTCTTTTAGTCTTGGATCCAATTCGGCCAGATCGTATTTAACATTACTTATTAATTACTGCTATTATTAACAACATTTCAGTCCGCTAATTTCACATTCCTCGCTGATAAAGGCAGATCAGAATCAACCGCAGAGTCACGGTATGAGAACACGTCGCTTAGGATCGTGCGTGAGAAACTCAGGAAAATGACACGTCGGTCGTCCGCGTGTGAGTAGAAATGTAATGTGAAAGTATTGCTTTAGATAATTTAAGTATTGGCATAATTTTCTGTAAAATGGTGTAAAATAGTACTGGTGTTTTAAAATTTCGGTTAACCATCCCAATGTCTAGGTCATCAAATATGAGTTGACGACACCATCATGGTAACGTGACGTGTGAATACAAATTAACAAGATATTGTCACCATTGGTGAGAAATGTACCATAAGACTTAGTAGAACACATAAATCATCTTGTTGCCGTGCTATTGCCTACAACGGCTCTTACGCAAAACGAAGTAAGCGGTCGGGTTATATAACGCGACCTACTGGCATACTGACTCTGTGGCTCATGCCTCGCTTGCACTGTGTACCACCTACTTACATTTGCTTGGTTACCGTAATCAAACTATTGCACCGCGAGTGCAACTTAACTATTTAAAAAACTCGTACTGTATTGTGACGTGAACGAAAACACGAGCTCAGTGGGGATTTCGATAATCGAATCGATTTTTTAAACGGATAATAACGGTTAGTTTTTAACGGGTTGACGGTTAAGGCACAATTAAGGTGCGTCATAACATTCCATATATGTACGAGTTTATTGGGAAACTTTACTTGTACCGTAAAGTAGTAGGGGATGATTGCAATAATACGATACAATGTCAATGTCGATCATTGAATTACTTATAGGTACGTAAGGCAAAGTTAATTAATATTTTACTTTTATAATTTTATTCTGTGTCAATAAATAAATAAATTATTTCTATTCTATTCTGCTGTGGAGTAGACTTCGGGATGCAAACATTCATGTTTACTTAAACTGATTATGGTTCAATAAAAATAATTATGTCAAATGAAAATGAAACTGTAGAAGATCACATAAAAGTACACGAATTCCAATTCCAATTTAAGTTGTGTTTTGGCAATGCGCAGATCCAATGGAATTTTATATATTAATATTGAGTCATTCAGACAGGTAAACTAAGGTTTCTTTAATCGTGGTCGCAGTAAACAGCCTACATAATTGCGAAGGGATGGTTCTATACCAATCAAATTACAATTTAAATGTCGCAGTATCTTTCCATGGTGATTCATTTCTATTTGAAAAGTTTGGCTTTATTGCCCAATTACTATGAAAGGTAATACCATTGAGGGGATTTTAATTTCAATTTGTTGACGTGCCCAAATTGATAGGGTACTTTATATCTTAAAATAACTCGTCTTAGCAATGCCCTTGAGAGACTGATCGATTGAGAAATAGTACAGAAAAATCAAACTTAGATCTTGTTCTACGGCGACTAAATAATAAATACATTACACGTTAATAACATGTTTAATGTAAGTGCTCATCACATCATCATTTTTGTACGCGAACACTCCGTAATTCTTCGTTTAGGAAAAGCAGAAAAAAAATATGAGTTAACTACTTAGAGTACACCGTTGATTTTTCGTCGGCCGATAGTTTAGTCGAGCTGTTGTTCAGTATGGGCATGTATGGGAGTGCGCACACTACGCCGATTCGATTTGGCCGATTCTTCATACAATTTGAAATCGGGCACATCTATCGGCCAACTAAAAATTAACGGTGTGCGCCTATTCTTAATGAAGAGAGCTGTACAGACAGTAACAAAGATGTGTTGTGAACTTTTTGGCTAGGTAGGTAGACTTTGGGTGTCATCACGAAATATTTGACGCTGAATGTACCAGTATCATGTCTATTTAATTTAGGCTCTGTGTTAGTACAAAAAGACGTAGCGACACGAAATTCGATCTGTCACCACGATTCACAAATGTTACATTGTCGAGTCAAAGACAACAAACAAACTTCTCTAAAAGTAAAATAATAGGCGCATAATCTTTATAGAGAGGTAAAATTAAACCAAACGAATGTTGGAAAGACAGAAATCGTTGACGAGCTGGACTAAAGTTCTTAGCAGACGGGATGCTTGAAGATCGTGCCTACCAGTCCAGATTTAGGACCTTTTGTTGCGTAAGACCGTGTAAAAAACACCACCTCGTCAGAGCCCCGATTACGGTAATTTTTAACGTCTACAATCCAGACACGCTTCTCGATTCTGCGATACGATTGGTCGTTCAACAGCGTACGTCAGCTGTTTTGACCAATCGTATCGCAGAATCGAGAAGCGTGTCTGGATTGTAGACGTTAAAAGAAAAGTTACCGTAATCGGGGCTCAGGCTTAGTGAACCGTATGTAAGTACAGAAGCAACATTCTTAAAATCACGCAGAACATTCTTTAAAGGGCGTATATTTAGTTTTATTTAACAATGTGGTAATTTACCACAAATTGGACATGAATAAAAAAATATACAGCCTCAGGAAAATTAACCTCAGGAATAGGCCATACGTGTCTATTTTTCCACAAGCGTAATTTGAATTGAGTAATTTCAAAACATTATCGGTATTGAATGGTTTTGCGGTTGACAGTGGGGCGCCACCGTCAATACCGGATCGCTGGTTCCGATTTTTGCCATGTTGGAAACCATATAGTTGAACGATGGTAGCGCCCCTCTGTCATTGAGTTTGGTGGGACAGTTCAGCGTGGATCATCTTTAAATGGATACAGTCTTTAGTCAGTATTATATGAGTACATTTTATGCACATGCAAACTGATTCGTGTGCGGTTTTTTTTTATACAAATACTCCGCATCGAACTACGCTAACTACTGTTACGCGCGAAATCTAGATTTGCTGGTGAAACTTTAACCTACCTAAGTTTAATTTCAATTTAGATACTCCTAAGCTATAAAGCTACTAATCCACTACCTATAAGCTCGAAGCTCGAAGCTTTTAGGCCGCTTACAAACTACTATTTTTAGAGCGATACAAACTCGCGACAGCAAAATGTGTAGTCCGAGCGATTTTATGAATAAATTCGTTCTTTATCTATACTAATATTATAAAGAGGTAAAGTTTGTGTGTTTGTATATTTCTTAAATTGTAAGGGGTAATCTCGAGATCTACTGAACCGATTTTAAAAATTATTTCACCAATAGAAAGCCACATTGTTGCTGACTGTCATAGGTTTTATAAAAAACCGAAAAATTCTACGCGGGCGAAGCCGCGAGCGGAAAGCTATTACAGTATGAAATGGTATCGATGCTGTAGGTTTTGTAAAAAACCTGCGACCGCTGAGGAATGCATTCCAGACTGCTCGATACGAGTGATAAGACCAATAATTCAATATATAATCTTGACAGGAGGGGGCGCGAAACTTTTTGTATTGTTGAAACTGAAAGGGGGCGCGTCTCAAATAAGTTTGGGAACCAATGCTCTAGTGCAGGGGTGTCCAAACTAGATGGGACCCAAGGTCAATAAAAATGACTAAATACATTGGTGGGCCGCAAAATATTTATAAAAATAAAATACTGGTAATAATAAAATAATATCGTTATTTATTATCTACTTTTTCATTAATTTGTCTGTTACAATTCTGTCAACATCAACCTCAATATTAGTAGTAGCTAGGCGCAGTGCATGTTTAAGTGAAGTTTCTGTCAATGAAGACCTGTATTTCGATTTAATAGGCTTCATTGTTGAATATGCACTCTCACAAAGGTAGGTACTGCCCATCATCGAGCCCATTTTTGCCCGAAATTCGTCAGTTTCGAGAAACGTTCAGGGAGGAGCTTAAAAAAATCAAGTCCTGTTTCAGTTCTGCCCTTGTAAAAGGGGTTTGATTGCAGATCACAGAGTTCCAGTTGTTAATCAATCTTAACACTCTCAACTGCGATCGTTAATGGATGAGTGAAGAGTGCTATATCACTCTCAATTTTTTTTTAATCTGCAATACGTCGTTCAAATTCGACGATTATTTCGTCCATGTATTTGAGGTGCTCCAAAAAATTACAGAAGATAAAAAAGATTCTATGGGCCGCAATAATCCAAACCGCGGGCAGCACGCGGCCCGCGGGCCATGGTTTGGACAGCCCTGCTCTAGTGCATTTGATTCGCAGCATAAGCGCGTAAGATACTGATGTATGTTTATCTGCGTTAATATTCTTAGAAGTAATAAAATGGTTGTTTGCGATTTGCGATTGGAGAGTGATTATGAACTGAAACAGATGATTAATCAAATATTTTAAAACTTGAGTCATGATGAGTGTATCGCGTTTATATCGATGCTCAATAGTGTATGTGTAACAAGACTTTATCACGTCAGCAGCCGCGTATATATTCGCTGCAGACGCGCTCGAATAAAATACAGTGTGCAAAGAGCCTTATTGTAACTTAATCACACCATAATACTGTTTAAATATCAAGAGTGTGTTAAGTAAAGATAGGTATTTAGTATTTAGTGGGCACATAATCGCAACTAAATTGCTAGACGCACTGCAATCACATCTAGTGTGTGGAGGCCCTTAAACATGTATTAATAATTGGTTTGTATAAGATTAGGAGTACTGCCACTTGTAATACCACCAGGTGGAAATAGTTAACTTTATTCTTTAATAGGTACCACGTTATCTCACAATATCAAGAACCTTGAAATTATGCTAATTATGCATAGGCCATAAAGTGTTTTACTTTTATCACCAGCCTTCCTTAAATTACTCAAAAAGACCTGAAACTTAGTAGGTTTTAAAGAACCATATATTGGTTTTGGAATTATCTATTTATTAAATAATGTTATTTTAATAAATACTGTAATTACAATTATTATTAATAATTAATGTAAATGGTCAAATAATATGCTCATAAATAAAGCATAACTCAAATTAATTTATGATTGCATTACATAATATTAGCTAGTTCAAGGTTAGGTAATTTCAACTGCTTTGATACATTAGCATATTATGTAAAGGTTGTTATGTAGTGTCCAAATCTAAAGTAATGTATGCCAATCCTGGCTCAACCGACTGTAACTGTGACAAATTGTATTGATTACAAGCCATGACTAAACTCAGCTCCATCATTTCATAGACAAGAATTTGTAAGTGATACATAAAAGCAATTAAATTATGTAATAATTATGCAACAGCAAAATTGAATATGAACAAAGGTCTTTGTTATTTGGGTAATGATCATGATATCGCGGCAGACGCCGGTCTGTTTACACCACGCGATGTTTACGGTAGCAGCGTGTCGGGCGCGAACTTGCGCGCTCCTCAGGCTCCCGTCTACGAAACCCGCCCATCTACTCATCCCTGTGCATTACACCCTTACATAATTTCCTTACGTAATAACCGCGTGGCAAGGATAGACACCCATTGATAAGTACAACAGAGTCCCTCCGTCACACCATTACGTAATGCCAGATATGATTGGCGAAAATCATCTTTAGTAAACACATAACAAACGAAGTCGCCGGCTTTGCTGGTAAAGACATTGAAAACAAGTAATAAGTTTAGTAGTTAATTACCTCTGGAGTTATGGGGGTTGGCGGGCCGACATGCCCGCCTACTCGCGGCCACATGATCTTTTTGTCTTCGCCTTAGAAAGCTGAATTTGTGGATAGTTCACTAAACTTTTGGACGAACGTCTCAAAAACAATTTTGACACAACCACCACGAAGTAAGCAAAATCGCATACTAAAAAGTCATAGACAGGCGGACTCAAGTCGGACTTCTTTTCGTTTGACTGTTCACTGTTGTCTATTCCTAAAGATGACATATGACCACAGACTAATTAAAGCTTAACTTATGTCAGTGCCATGAAGCTAAAGATAAAATGGAGGCCACACTTCGAATACCTACTTGAAGCCATGAAGCTACAGATAAAAATGGAGGCCACACTCCAAATACCTACTTGAAGCACAAACTATGTATCATTATCTCGCTCTCTGTGGGCAGACTCTCTCTTTCTAAATAAACAAATAACATAAATTTACTCAAATTCAATGAAACTCAATGTAAAATCTTTATTTCTTGACATAGGTATCATTAAAAATGATAAGTGTAAATACTGGTAAAACGTTTTGGGAAGAAATTACTGTAAAAAATGTGAAAAATGTTTACAATGATCCAATGTCGGCAATCACGAAATAAACACTTACGCGTGGAATCTTATGTCACTTCCAGGACACCACGTACTACCGCAACCACGCACTACAAAATTTTGCACCATTTCTTGTGATAAAACAATGATTATTTCCTGTAAACAATCTCAAACGAAATTAACTGCATAATAAACAAGATAGTAAACAACCGCCATGATGGGTCGGATTGGGCCGATGTTGCCACATGGTACCGATTTCCCAGGAATTGGGATTGTAATTCCCTGATTCGCCAACACATTAAGCCTAAATGGCCAACAATTTTGTGATTTTTTATTTAACTAGGTAATTTTAGTTTCAAATATTAATTATTTATTTGTTTAACTTCTGATTTGGTTAGTGAATTGGCTATTTCGAAGAATTTACAAGGAGATTTAAATCAGAAGATAGCAATACTACAGTTCACACTAAAAAGAGAGGTAGGGCCGCAGAGAGCGAGATAGATATAAGTAAGTATTTGACTCAAGTTTTTGTTCCAACTCTGCCCTCCATTTTTATCTTTAGCTTCATGCTTGAAGCACAACCTATGTATCACTATCTCGTTCCCTGTGGGCAGACTCTCTCTTTCTAAATAAAAAAAGAAAATATTTGCTCAAAGACAATGAAACTCAATGTAAAATCTTTATTTCTTGACATAGGTATCATTGTGGTATCATTAAATAAAGTGTAAATACTGGTAAAACCTTTTAGGAAGAAATAACTGTGAAAAATGTTTACAATGATCCAATGTCGGAAATCACGAAATAAACACTTACGCGTGGAATCTTAAGTCACTTCCTGAACACCACGTACTACCGCAACCACGCACCACAATGTTTTGCACCATTTCTTGTGATAAAACAATGATTAGGTCCTGTAAAAAATCTGAAACGAAATTAACTGCATAGTAAACAAAATAGTAAATAACCGCCATGATGGGCCGGATTGGGCCGATGTTGCCACATGGTACCGATTCCTCAGGAATTGGGATTGTAATTCCCTGATTCGCCAACACATTAAGACTAAACGGCCGACAATTTTGTGATTTTTAATTTAACTAGGTAATCGTAGTTCAAATATTTAACCCTCCGTGTACGAGGTGACTAAAAGTTACGTCCCGTACCAGGTGGGGTATGACACACCCCAATATACAAAGTGAAAAAATTTTCATTCAACTTTTTTTTAGGTGGAATTTCATATTTAATATTGATTATTTACGTATGCTAATTAGGTTTAAGAATTGCTCTGAGCTGAAAATATGTATTATAACATTTTTATCATAAAAAAACAAAAAGACACAATTTCCGTTGTTCTTGTAATTTAGGAATCAGTTTCCTATGTATAATTTTTAATTAGTGCCTTTAATTATGACAACCATTTTTATTTAACAAAGTACAAGTATTTACTTATAATTTAAAAGTAAATTAAAAACTGTAAGTAAGGGTATAAATTTGTTTTGATCATCGGTTTTCAATTTATCATAATTCTGATGAAGAAAATAAGTATGCTCAATGCTTAAAATGGGAGCGTAACAATTTTATTTATTTATAAAATTATATGTTATTCCATTTCAGTAGCCCATAAATTGTATCGCCAAGTATAAATTGTAGCCCATAAGTGTATGTTCACATACATCTTCGGATCTCAGTACTAAACTTCCAGATTCACACTAAAAGTCATCTCATTTGACTAAAAGTGCTTGAAAATGTTAGATACCGTAAAAATCACGAAAAATTATATTTGTATTGAATTTTATTCAATTGACAAAGCTAAAAATATGTAAACTACACCAAAATTGTTAGATTTTTTATTAAACTTTTTAACAACGTCCCGTACCAGGTGGGGTGTGTGACACCCACACGCACTTTAAAGGCATGTAACTCAGTTGGTAGTCACCGCTGGACTGATGTTGCAACGCTGATCGAAGCAGCAGTGTCATAATTCCAGCTACTGAGAATTTCAAATTCAGCACTTGCAAGTTTTTAAAATTGTGGCTATTTTTAAAGGACTGGGGTGTGTCACACCCCACCTCGTACAGCGAGGGTTAATTATTATTTATTTGTTTAACTTCTGATTTGGCTAGTGAATTGGCTATTTCGAAGAATTTACTAGGATATTTAATTAAGGAGATAGCAATACTATAGTCCACACTAAAAAGAGAGGACGGCCCACAGAGAGCGAGATAGAGATAAGTAGGTATTTGACTCAAGTTTTTGTTCTAAGTGTAGCCTCCATTTTTATCTTTAGCTTCATGGTCAGTGCGTTCCGCCGCCCAACATAAAGTTAAACGTGAATTTTATTTTAGAGAGGCGCTAATAAAATTTACACTAAATTTACCATTAAAATACACATTTTTAGTAAATAGCAGCCAAATTATGTCGTTCTTGGAGTTAAAAATAAAATATAATTTTCTGTAGCTAAAAAAAAATAATTAACAATCAGTTATTACGAATTATTAAAGGACAATGACCAAAAGTGGTCCAAATGTCCACCACTAATGAGACCTATATGGGTCATTCCATNGTGTGTAAGAGCTCTAAAAGTGACATTAGATTCAAAGATGATGGAGGTAGCTAAAAATAGTTAGCAAGCAAGTAGTAGTAGTAGTAGTAGTTAGGTAGCAAGTGTATAGTTCCAAAATACTGAACTGTCCTATCGATGACATTGACAGCGGGGCGCCACCGTCAATACCGAATCGCTGGTTCCGTTTTTTGCCATGTTGGAAACCATAAAGTTGAACGATGGTAGCGCCCCCCTGTCATTGAGTTTGGCGGGACAGTTCAGCGTGGGTCATCTATATATATATTATTGTTGAAAGTCTTGATTTCAGTGCAAGTTGCAAAAAATTGCATGCAAGTCGATGTTATCAAGTTCACAATAATCGTAATAGAATCGTATCGTAGTGTGATCTACAACCTCACTTTTTTTTTAAATCGTATAGTGTCGAGCTCCAACCACAGATTAGAGAATTTAAACACAGTATATATATGTCTACTGTGATTTAAAGCTCAGATAAAGCCTCAGGATAAAGCAAAAAGTTTTATTCCATAAATTGTATCCTTCTTGTCTTAGCTTCCGAAGGAATATTTGTAAGATCTAAAGCTATTTAAGGATGACCTAAACTGAAAACAAAAATAAAGAAAATGATGTAATAAATACTGTGCCGTATTTAACTGCCTAAATAATAATAAAAACACAGAATGTACTTTTTTAAGTTGCCTGAAGACACTGAGAGGTAATTAAGTAGTTAATATTATTCATGATAATTCATGCTAAAACATGTATTTCCTCCGCCATTTTCTGCAGTTTGGCACCTCACGTCACAACATTTTACCGAAGTCAGCCCCCCTAGACAAAACGCACTTTTTGATCGAATCGAAAATCGAATCCGTCAAATTCCATACAAAAAAGGGGCTTTTCGACCAATTTCGACTGGTTTGCGATTGTAATTTGCACTTTGTCTAGACCCACAGCCCTATATAGATGACCCACGCTGAACTGTCCCACCAAACTCAATGACAGGGGGGCGCTACCATCGTTCAACTATATGGTTTCCAACATGGCAAAAATTGGAACCAGCGATCCGGTATTGACGGTGGCGCCCCACTGTCAATGTGATGCATAGGACAGTTCAGCGGGTCTAGTCAAAACGCACTTTAAAATCGCAAACCCATCGCAAACCAGTCGCAAACAAATAAACAAATCGCAAAAGAGGTCGATAACAAAAAAGGCTTAGTCAAACGGCAAAAAATCGAATCGCAAAGCCCTACCTATCGATAATCGAAAGACTGGATTGAAATTTCCCATACAAAGGCTTAGCCAACATGCATTTAAGACCACAGATATGGATTAGAGTAGATACAGCCATGATACAGCAAGTTGATCGTCAAAGCGTGCCATTCCGATATGTCCAAATGGACATACATGGTCGAGTGATGTTCATATAATCCGATTACAACAATCGGTTACGATGATTTTACGAGGACAGTAGTACGAACACGGTAGAAAGAAGAAATTATTTACGGATTGAGAATTGTAATTAACAGCACAAATAACAAATAATTAATTAGAATAAAGTAGCAGTAGAAGAAGTATTAAAGTAGTATTGTTTTAATACATATCCTGCGATGTACTCTTAAGAGTTAAAACCATGGTCCCTGTATGTGGTGCACTCACAGATATGGATTAGAGTAGATACAGCAAGTTGATCGTCAAAGCGTGCCATTCCGATATGTCCAAATGGACATACATGGTCGAGTGATGTTCATGTAATCCGATTACAACAATCGGTTACGATGATTTTACGAGGACAGTAGTACGAACACGGTAGAAAGAAGAAATTATTTACGGATTGAGAATTATAATTAACAGCACAAGTAACAAATAATTAATTAGAATAAAGTAGCAGTAGAAGAAGTATAAAGTAGCATTGTTTTTAATACATATTTTTTTTTTTTTTTAAAAAAGATTATTAGTAATTTGTTATTAATTACACAAATTACTAATACTCCCGTTAGCCCCTCGTACTAAGCTAAATATGCTTGTGTCACGAGTGAGCTCACCACAATAGTCGAGCGGCGGCGGGGACCGAACCCGCGTTC